CGCAAGCGCCGCGCGCCCAGGGCCAGCACTCCCTCCCTCCCCCCGCAAGCGCCGCGCGCCCGGGGCCGACGCTCCCCGCAAGCGCCACGCCATGTGCCCGGGGCCAAGCCAGCCCCAAGCACCTGGTGGGCGCATGCAAATGCCCCCGCGGGCGCCATGGCGCCCGCGGGCACCGTGTTGGGGACCACGGTCCTAAACAGTAAGAGCTAGGACCACCAAATTCGGTATACAGCTTCCTCTCATTACTTAAAGCAGTGTGTGGTTTTGGCTGTGCAGGATGGGGAGAGGGCCTGAAGAGCTCCTCCTAAATGGTAAGAGCTAAGACCACCAAATCCAATATACAGCTTCCTCTCATCATAACTTACAGCAGGGTGTGCATGCATACAGCATAAAATCATCCAGAAAAGAGACAGAATCACCAGGCAAGTGAAAGGGGCTGACTGGGGACAAAAATCTGCCCCCCACCGCTCCTGCATCATCCCTGAGTCTCCCAGCCTCCAGGCACCATTTAGGGAGGGCAGGGGGACTGCATCTCCCCGCCCCCCATTCATACGGAAACATTGCTGATTGTTCTCCTTTATCAAGGAGCAAGGGGAAAGTGCACAGTTTGCTGCATTCCTCACTCGGGCTGGGGAGTGCAGGGGGAGATGAACCTGGACATGCCCCAGCCAAGGGACATACACTCCTTTTCTGGCTGTGCCCGCTGCAGCTGCAGTAGCCATGGACAGGCTTTTTGTACCTGGCCCCAAGATGCTGCAGTGAGAGAGCGCTGGAGTAGTCTTCTCTGCCTGGGCCAGCCTTCATGCTGAACCTCGGATCAGCTGATCATCAGCACAGCGCAGTGGCCATGTTTATTTTAATGAAGTGGGGAATATTTAAATCCCCGCTTCTTTGACTATGCCGAATAAACAAATTTACATGGCTCCGTCAATGGAGCTATGTAGTCTAGACATACCCTGTGGAAAGAAGGTGCTGTGGAAGGTCTGGGAGGAGGAAGCACAAGCAGGTACCAGGAGGAAGAGCTTGTAGTAAGGAAGGTGCTGGAAAGAGCTGTGGGAAAGTGGCCCAGGGAAACGTAGCTGTCACGCAGCTGATACTGGAGACATTGCAGGCTGCTGCTATCACAGGGTCCCTGGGCTGGACCCGGAGTAGAGTGCAGGCCCAGGTTCCCCGCATCACCAACTCCCCAGTCAGCACAGGAGGAGGACTAATTTTGGTAAAGGGGTCTGTTTTGCCCTGAATCACTTGGAAAGGCAGTAGAGACTATGGAGTTGTGTCTCTTCTCTTTTCCCCATGCTGGCTGATTATGAAGGTGACAACAAATGGCAAGCTGATGCCCTAGATAATGTGTCTAAAGCAAAGGCTGCCATGAGCCTCTGAGATGAGCAATCTGCTTGAAAACATGGGACCCACCAAAGCAGAGGAGGAGCTTTGTCACAGATGCGTTAACAGGAGTGTTGTAAGCAATATACAAGTAGTAATTCTTCTGCTCTACTCTGCGCTGATTACATCTCAACTGGATTATGGTGTCCAATTCTGGACATCATATTTCAGAATATGTGGAGAAATTAGAGAAGGTTCAGAGAAGAGCCACAGAAATGATTAAAGGTCTAGAAAATATGACCTATGAGAGAAGACTGAAAGAATTGGGCTTGTTTAGTTTGGAAAAGAGATGACTGAGAGGGGACATGATAGTAACGTACCTAAAAGGGTGTTACAAGGAACAGGGAGAAAAATTACTTTCCTTAACCTTCGATAATAGAACAAGTAGCAACGGGCTTAAATTGCAGCAAGGAAGATTTAGGTTGGACATTAGGAAAAACCTCCTGTCAGAGTGGTTAAGCACTGGAATAAATTGCCTAGGAAGGCTGTGGAATCTCCATCATTGGAGATTTTTAAGAGGTTAGACAAACAACGTCAGAAATTATCCAGATGGTGCTTGGTCCTGTCATGAGGGCATGGGACTGGACTTGATGACTTCTTCAGGTTCCTTCCAGAATTCTACTTTTTATACTTAAAAAAAATACTTTTGTTTATTATCAATCCCTGTGAAAATAATTGTTACCTGGGATGGGGGCCACAGCTATGCATATCTCTCTTTCACTGATAAAGAGAGCAAACATCTCTTTCTCGGTGTAAAACTTTTATACAGAGTAAAATTTATTTATTTGGGGTTTGGTCTCTTTTGAGGGTTGTGTTCCTAGGTGCTGTCCAATACCTATAATTGAGCCCTCCCAGACCTGAGCTGTTTCAGCATCTCTATTACTCCGCGGGGTTGCTGTTACCTCTGTGCCAGTGCTGGGAGAGACAAGAGCTTCTGTCCCAGCAGGACAGGATGGTGTGGCAATCCAGAGGACAGATAGACGGGCTCATCACACCAAATGATAGCTCCAACCTGTCACACGGACTTTCAAAATTAAATCACAATCTCCCTCTGTCTCCAAAAGGTAATGAGCTAATAGCTGTCTATCATTTCCTTGGAAATTAGGATACCTGGTCAAGAATGGGGAAAAAACTAGATGGATACATCAAAGATAGTGATGTGAATCCTTTTCTTTGTGATGCTGTTACAACTAATACTGAAAACACCCAGAAAGACTCCCAGCACATATATATAAAAATTCTAATTAGAGTTCAGAGAGCAACAGCTAGAGACACTTCAACATTGGATCAATTTCTACAGCTTCTCAGGACAATGTTAAGATTTTCTGTTCATCTTATCTTCTAGTTATGCTTTCTGAAGACTTGCTACAGCACATACTTTTTAATATTCACACATTCCTTACCAGACAGTGAACCTGGTAAAATAAATAAAGCTGCCTTAATTTCCCATATAATGGTTCAGTTGTATTTGAAAGCCATCCTTAATCTTGCTTTAATTATCAGGGGCTTTTTAAGCTTGAATTCTTGTATATTTTCCTCATTGTGAGCCACAGGAAACAATTCTGAAGTACTTCTGTAAATTGTAAACTGCTCTGTGTAACCCAAGTACTGAACCAGGATTACTTCAAAGCCTTTGAAGGGCTTCAGGTGAGAAGGGAATGGAATCTGCCCACGTGAAGTATGCAGTCATTTGAAGTTCTGGGAACACTTCACATTTTAAGAGCAGTCCAAATAATTTTAAATGGTACTGAACTCCTTTCATTATTGAATTAAAGCTGTCTGAAAACGAAATTTTATAGGTGAGTTTTACAGTTTCAAGGAAACTCAGGGCTACATACTGTATATTCAAATATGTACCGTATTTAAAAATAATTGTTTTTTTAATACCACAAATATCATAGGCACATTCATAATGTCACCATAAGGTATAGAACTGGATTTTTAGGGACAAAATCATTTTAATTCTATACTTTTCACTATAAAGAATAAAATTAACATGACATGAAAACTTAAAATACATAACACCCTGAAGCTCCTGATGTTTTCAGGATCACTACATAGTTATTTTACACAAATTATTTG